TGTCCAAACTTCAGGCCTCCAATCCTTCTCATTTCTCTTACTGATGTAAAAAATGTGGATGCTTACCTGAATAGGATGACTTTGAAGATGCCTGAACGCTAGTTGCTATCTACTAGCAGTCTCTTTTATACTGCATTATTTATCTTTTTTATTGAGTACAGGCAAAAATAAATGCACATGCAATGTTTATTCACGAAAATGAATCAGAGCAGAGATACTGGATTACCACTTAATATGGAATATTATTTTTTGGCGAGTAAATTTTCTACAAAATATATAATTTCTCTCTAACTACTTAGAATCCAAAGCTGAGGTGTCACTCCATGTGTAGCCAGGTGTGTTACCTAATTACCACACAACTCTCGAAACAATTGATGCATGCAGTTGCATGTTCTGTCGTCAGAAATGTGAGGGGTGGTCTTTTCGGCAATTTCTGCCCTTGTATAAAAACGCATGGGTTTGGTCAATCTTTGGAGTGTGTTTAGAGAAGCAATAAAGGGATCGCTCTGAAACTTGACAGGTACCTTAGTGAAGATATGGTTCGACAGCTAAGCAACGCAGCTTACTATGGGGTTCTTGCTCTCAGAGAAAATGGCCAGAAACGGACAGCCATTGCCAGGTAATTCAACATTTATCAGGAACCGATTGTGAAGTCCTCCAAAGAAATGCTGCAACAGGGGCACCTACTCCAATACCTCGACCAGGGTGTCCGTGTATCACACCAAGAAGACAGGATCGCCTTCTCCTTAGAGGACGCTNTAGCTGTTATCTTTTATTATTTTTTCATTATCATATTGCTTTGCAATTTACAAGAAAGCCTTTTCATCTGGGATCATTATTGAGTTAATTTAGTTAATAAGGCTTCATTCACATGCAATGTCTATTTTCTAAATTCTATTTTCTATTCGCGGTATGTCTTATGATCACAGTCTGTGCCCTGAATATCCCGCGGCGTAATTACTGGCAGCGCGAGCCAGTTACTATAAGTTACTATAAGTAACTGGCTCGCGCTGCCAGTAATTACGCAGCGGGATATTCAGGGCGCAGACCATGATCATAAGATAGTGCGAATAGAAAATAGAATTTAGAAAATAGACATTGCATGTGAACGAAGCCTAAGACTGGCACATATCAGTGTACCTTGATAGTTTAACTCTACATTGTGTGCCCCAGCATCCCAGGGCAGTTCCCTTGTCCACCACCTTGCCTTTTACGAGTTTTTTTTTTTTCAGAATTACTCCCTTAGTGACCATGGCTGTGATCTTTTATTATTCATTCATTATTATTATTATTATTATTATCATTTTTTAATTTACAAGGAAACATCATCATGGACGATCTTGTTGTTATTTTAGTAGCAAATACAGCACAACCTACAGACACTTCCATGTTCTGGCTTGATAAATTCCCACTCTATGGTGGAAACCTTGGGCAGGAGAACCTCTACCCTCAGAAAAGGGACATCCAAATCGGTGTACCTTGATAGATTAACTCCCCACTGGTTGCCCAACACCCTCCGTTGCTCACAACTTTTGCCTTCTGCATATTTCTTGAAATCTTTTTCCTCATAATAATCATTTCACCAATGATAGGGTGGTATGGGAAGAATTCTTTGCACTTTTTTTTTAGTCATATTGGAGTTCAAAATGGCTGCAAACGAAAATGGCAGTGATAGGCATATTCATGAGCAATTTTTTAAAAACGTTTTCTGTTTATGTACTGGTATAGACCAAGCATCACTTCTGTGACTTTTTTTATAAAACTTTCACTTGGTAAGAGTTTTTTCTTATCTGTGAGACTGGTGTGGATTTATTTTCTTCTAGTTGTACAATGTGTTTAAATGAATGCAAATGTATGGTTCCAAGTGTACTGCACCATTATCTCAACCAAGAAATTGTGTTCTTGAATAGATTTGTGTACATTCCATCGGTATATTAAATGAACACTGTATTTACATATATGTCATAGTTCCTTCTTCACGTCTCTTTTTGTTTATAAAAATGGCTTCAAATAAAACTCTGAGAGTGAGAGAGAGAATGGGAAGTTCTTAGAAATAAAAATTATCTTGAAATCACATACTAGTTAGTATTGTATGACATAGAAGTCACAAGGTAAAATGTAGAATAAAAGTTGTATGAGTGGCCTTGTTCCCTCATGAAGATGCTCTAGACAGACATTGAAATACTGGAGATAAAAATTTCAGTATTAGCTGCTGACTGAAGAAAAATTACTTCCTTCTTAGACAAAAAAATACATCTTTAAAAGTCATAACTTTCCAGCAAAATATATTTATTCACTTCACATAGTCACCTACTAAACTTATTTTCAAAACATGTTTGGACTTGGCTTCTTGAACAACTGAACCCCCAGTTAATTTGAAAACCTCCATTTAAGGACAACTCACTTGTATGGTATTGTTAATAATAATAATAACATGTAACTGCACCCATAATACAATAAGAATTAAAAATCAAAATAATAATATTAACAATAGCATGTCACTTCATGCTCATAAAGAGTGCTAAAATTTCAGCAGCAAATTTCATAAGAAATAACAGATGATAACAATAATAAAATAAGTACTGTAGTAAGTAATTAATAATAACAACAGCATCACTATACTGAAAAATACTGAGCATTTATGAAAACCCTGCATATTAATCAGTTTGGTATTTAAATGTTTTTAAACTAATGTGTGAAGGTTTACAAGGGTTGTGACCATCACTGCATTAGTGATATAAAATAACCTAATAATTTAAATGCTGGTTTAGTGCTATAGATCTATATGTACTGGAAACCATCACTGCATTAGTGATATAAAATAACCTAATAATTTAAATGCTGGTTTAGTGCTATTTATATAGATCTATATTTACTGGAAACCATCACTGCATTAGTGATATAAAATAACCTAATAATTTAAATGCTGGTTGAGTGCTATAGATCTATATATACTGGAAAACCAAAAACATTAACATCGCCTTGCCTTATTACTTGGAGTGGAAATGGGGAACATCCCAGAGAGACCAAAGCACAGTTCCACGACTGTGTCATTTCACCTTATCATTGTTTTGTATTCATTTTTATAGGACAAATGAAGAATGGTCGACATGTTTTAGTGACATACATTTAATGCTGATGATGTCAAAATTGCAATAATTACACCATAAATCAAAACTATAACCTCCGATGTATGTATACTTATCTGCTACTACATGTATGTAGCAATCAAGTTATAAACTTACTGTAAATAGGGTATTAGACCCCATTTCCAGAGATTAGATCGATCTACTTTAGATCGACCTAACTCCCTGGGGGTTATATGGGTATGGGGTAATGGGGGCTGTCAGCCGTGCGGGCACGAAAGTTAATTACCCCCTTACAGTTTGTAGTAGGCGGGACGGACATTTAAGCTGGATTATCTGACAGTAATCTAGTGAGACTCCCCGCGGGGATAGATTGATCTAAAAGCTCTGGGAATACAGCCTTAGACTGATGCATCTATGAAGATCTACTATAAAGATGTGATATGTAATCCAAGCTTTCGGCCCCTAGGCCTTCTTCAGGGATTTTGAAAGAAAAATAGACATTTGAAAAAAAATGACTTCATAGATCTTCATAGTTCTTCAAGATCTATAGGCGATGTGACATGAATAAACTTACTGTGATATATATACTTATACATTCAGCAAAGCAATGTAAAAGCGTTCATTGGCATATGTTTATGTTTTTTGAGTTCAATGGAAGACAACTTAATCACAAAATTAAGATAAAACACTAACAGCTTTTAAACTTTAAACAGAAGTGAATTGTAGCATGTGTAACATGTTTGCAGTTTAACACCACAATTTCTTTAAATTAATAGTGCTACATCAAGACATTTCAGCCAGATTAGACTATAACTCTGTTGATTATTTGTCACATGTTGATAATTTGTCAACATTACTGTAGCATATATACACTTTTTAAAAGCAGTAAATACTATGATGGGCATCAATGTGTAAATTATATTTCATTTTCACTTCACAAATGACCTGACGACTTGTATGTGCATTATTTGCATTTTTCTTTCAATCTTGTAAGATTTTCAAGTACAGCTGGATTGAAGCAAATGATGAAAAATTATTTGACAGTTTTATAAAAATTAAAGACACTTTGGTTTACTACCTACATTGTATTGCCTGACAAATTTTTTTCTCCTACTTTTCCTCATTTTAGGCCATCTAAGATGTTCCCCATAATAGTATTCAATATTTTTAACACAGTTACAGTGAACACAGTTACAGTGAACGTGCTTGCTTGTGTTCACTGTAACTGTGATAACTGTAAATGTAACAGGTACAGTTACAGTGAACACAAGCAAGCAAGTTCAGATTTTACCAGTAGAATAAACAGGACTTAAAAAATAACTTTTTGAATTTGAAATGCTTCCTGTTTTATCTCTTTCTTTTGCCAATCGTAAGTAAACCTATAACAAAAAATAAAATTATTTTATAACCATGCCTTTTTCCCAGCCCCCTCTGACTGAAATAAATTATTATCGCACTATGTTGTTTGTTTGTTCCAAAGAGGTACAATATCAAAGGCAAAGTAATAACTTCTTAAATTCAAACAATTATTTACTCCATTTTTTAACTGCCCACAAAAAGTATACTCTAACTGGAATCCAAGAAACATTTTGGAATCTGTATATTGGAGTATTATTTACAAAACAACTTTTTTGGAAAAAAATGTCAATTTTGTTTAAATTCAGAAAGTATTTACCATAGGCCTATGAATATTATGCTCATTACAACAATTTAAGGCAGTTCACTGCTGTATAGCAAAGAAACCCTTTTCTATAATAAACTACTCTGTAGTTCGACTAAGGGAGAAATCTTTGAAAAAAAAAGGATTAACAGCGTTTGCGGTTTTCTGAACACAAATATTTGTCAAGTTAAATAGAATATTATCAACTTGACTATCATACATAACATTCTCTGCCCGCTCCCCCCAAAAAAAAATAATAATAATTAGCTTTTGCATCTGTGCATAGTAGAATGGAACGTCAAACATTAAACCCACCTAAGTTACGAATGCCTGTTTATCACTAATATCATCTAATTTTGTTCAAATTCAATGAGAAATAGAGCTCCACTGGGATGTAAAGCATCAGTCATACATAATTTTACTGACTCATTTTAAAGTGCTTCAGAAATATATACAGCTTTCAGTCTTGAATTACGATCACCGTCTCTTAAACACCTTTAAGCCAGATTTCTGCATCATTTACATTAAACCCTAGTTTATCATATAAATGAATGAAAAGAAATTAATCTAATAAAAGTTTTGAATATCACAATTGTAAGGCAGCTGTACATAAAGATTAATAAAGCAACGAGTATAATTTTAAAATTCAAGTCCGTGTTTTTCTTTTGATGTAATAATGCTAATTTCATACTTCTAAGACCTAAAACCAAAACTTTTAGCACCATAATAATATCAGTATTCCACATTATGCTCATCTTCATCTAATAAAGGTTTCTCTGCCTCATTCTCATAATCCTCAGTGTTTTCATCGAGGTGTATTGCCTTGTTGCCACGGTAACAGTAAAACTGAGAGAATGTCTGAGGACATGATCAAGGAAAGATGTGGAAACTGAACTATGGGCGCTTTCAGAATAAGTTCATCAGTGGACTTTCTGATATGGGGATCAAATATGGCCAGCCCACTTAAAAGTAATGCCACCAAATCCCCTCATGGGCTCCCTTCCTCCTACACATGCCATCCTAGCAATTAAACCTCGAAACTGAGATTAAATCTGTTTAATTACTAGACCCCTACAGAGCTGGGTAGGCGGTGAGACCATAAGGGGATTAGCAGTATTGCTTTCAAGTGGGGGTGGACCATATTTGATCTGCAGACCAGTTTGCCCACGGATCATTTGTTCTGAATACTGCCTATGATGGGGAGATCAACAATGACTGAATACTTGACCTGAAACAAGTTAAAAAGTGCAAATTATTCTGTTTGACATTGAGAACACAAAAGAATGAGAATATTTAGATTTGAAAATATGAAACATGCAAAAAGAATCCCTTAAAATAACATCAATAACAAGAAAGTTGCAAGATCCCTTTAGCCCCCCCCCCCCCCTCAGTTAAAGAGATCATACAGTAAAGGGCACCGCAATGCATCAATTACATAACAATATCACTCCAAGGATACAATGATATCAATGAGAATCATGCCATAGCTTCCTACTATCCAGGGTAAGTGTTGGAGGATAAACACCTCCTCCGTGGACTTCACCAGTATGCTGCTGCCGTAGGTCAGGTTGCCGCTCACGATCAGGATGAACATGCCCATGTTAACGCCCTCTGTTGACTTACGGCGGAACTGGAATCAAAAATTATTCGGTCCCATTCAAAAGATGATCAGCAATACCTGTTCTGAATTTAGCTACTTAAACTTTTGATGATGCAAGTTGGGCCTATTCCGTCTTAAACTGTTTGTATGAGATTTATTTATCACAATAAAAACATTGTAACACACAGAAATATGATAAATTCCATTTTACAACCAAAACAGCACTTATCGCAACTATTCTGTAACCTTTGCCTGCCATCAGACCTGGGCTCCGTATCTCGAAAGGTTCGCTATGTTGCGCACATGCGCAAGCCTCTATTCCATGACCCCGTATCTCGAAAGAATCGGTTATGGAATCGAGACACTTTCACGTGCGCAACATAGCGAACCTTTCGAGATACGGAGCCCAGGTGGAATTGCATAGATGGCTATACATCCATAATAATCCCTTTAGATTATTACAGATGTTACGGGTCAGAGTACCCAATGCCAGCAAAAATCAATGACAAAAGATTTAAAGAAGTTTTAATATTTTATTAAAACTAAATAAACTAATGACAATAACAATAAGCTATTCTTAATACACAAATAAACCTATCTGAAAGCATGAAGTGTCCTGTAACTGTGTGAAAGTCCCGATGTGAATCGGTCGACTGGAGATTGAATGGAGATAAATCGGCTCAAAGTTCAGTGAAAGTGTCCGATGAAATCCCACAGTAATTACGATGCAAGTTCCGGTAGAAAATATGAGTGTCGGTTCAGTGGTAAATAGGTTCCAAAGAGAAATATTCTCCTTCAAAAGTCCCAAAACAAAACTCAGTCTCCTATCCGTTCATACTCCAGCGTCTGTCTAAACTAACGCTCTCGAGATACTCATGCTCTCGCGATGTGGTGACGTCATAAGCTGACCTACTTATACACAACACAGAAAACATGGACTAACTTTGAATGCCAGAATGGATTCATAAACCATTGTTAGTTTGTGAAAGTCATCATTTAGCCTAGGAAAAAATTTGGTGGGGAGGGGGGAACAAACACTTTTTTCCCTTTAAACAACCTTGTGTGAATATGCCTGTACTCACATTGAGCAGTAACTGTGGCAGTCTGGACCCCATATAAAAACATGTGGATATGATACCACACACATAGCCTATTATATCACCTGTACCCTGAAGTAAAAAAAAACATCATATTAGAAGATGCATGCATATGTTTTGTGTTGATATCACTTGAGTAGAAAATAGCCATGAATACGGAAGGCTATGGCGCTCATAACATTATTATTGGTTACTAAAGCAAATTGGTCACTGTGGTACTCATGATGTTATTACAAGGAAATTTAATAGGAGTAAGACAGTACAACATACAGTAAAAACCATGTACTCAAAACAAAGAAATGAGATTTTCACATGTCACTGTTTGCAAGAAATGGTGAACTGCCCCTGCAAAAATTTGTCTCATTTAACACTAATTTAAAGTTCTCAATCTGTCCTAGAACATAATGTTTTCTCTTTTAATGAAAAATGTTCTTAATCTGTTCTAGGACATTCTGAAGGACTTCCCAAAACAGTTCTCGAGCTGTTACATTCTTTACAGAACAACAATAGAATGTCAAAAAAATACACTAAATGCTCTAGAATAGATTGAGAACCGTAACAGAACGTTAAATGAGACAAATTTTTGCAGGGGCACTTCCATGTGATTCTCTGATATAACCAAGACTGTGTGGTTTCAGAACACATCCTCAAAGGATATGATATCAAATATAACAAACCTATAGAAAAAATCACTAATACCCATGATCCCCTTTGATTCCCATTTGATGCAAATTCAAGAAAACATATGCCAAACAGTCATGTTGGTTGTTGCATGTTCAGGCCATTAGCCAGCAATTTCAAATAAGGGCATCTTTTTCTCAAAAAAGTGATCCTTTTACAATGAAACCTTGATTTCATGTACCTAGATCAAATTTAAGTGGATCTTTTCCTGGCAAAGAAGGGCAGTTCCTTCCAACCCCCAAACCCTCCCTGGCCATCGACCTGGTTTCCGTATCTCGAAAGGTTCGCTATGTTGCGCATGTGCGCAAGTGTCTCGATTCCATAACCGATTCTATTTCAAGGTACAGGGCCATGGAATCGAGACACTTGCGCACGTTCGCAACATAGCGAACCTTTCGAGATACGGAGCCCTGCTGTTGTGAAAATAACAGATCAACTCACTGTGAAGACAGGTCCCGGAGTATGGTGTTCTGTTTCCTGTAATAGTGTCCTACCAGCAGGTCTCATGTGACTGATAACTGACACTTGTTCTGTGGCAGAGGCTTGGAATGGTAACAGACTGATCCCAATGTACGATATGCCCCACAGGGCAAATATACACTGCAGGAGACGCGATTGGGAGACACCTTCATCTTGAATGTTAACATTGTGGACTAGAAAATAAAGTTCAACATTATAATGAAAGATAAGATTAATTCAAAGAAACCTCTTTCAAAAATAAATGAACAAACAAAATGAAGAAATGAAATATGGAATCAACTCTGGGAAAATCTTTCAGCTGATATTTAAACGTGCATGCATGTATACACACACACACATACATACATACACACATACACACACACACACACACATATACATACATACATACATACACATGGAAATACAAATGTACATACACATGCATAAATGAAAAAATACTTGCGTGCACTCAACCCTACTAAGACATCATTCAATCTCACCTTTTAATCTTCTGTTACGTCTCATGTGTTTCCATTTGCAGTAAACATACTGACCAAGCAGCAACATATCAATCAGCACATAGTAAATGGCTGACCATTTCTGAAAAGATGAAAATTTCCTCAATTTCTTCTTGAATCAGTTGATCAGTTAAAAAGAGAAAATGGCAAATATTCTTGAAGCGTGATAGTAAATCCAATACCAAGGTAAAGCAACTAAATGATTTTAAAAAGAAAAGTATGCAGCGTGTAAGGAGAGGTCATTACATGTCATTTCTTATGGCTCGGGGAAAAGGAAAGACCTTATCCTTGTCGAAAAAAAATGTCAGACTGGGCACCCACTATCCTTTGGAATGTTCAGAGCAAATTGATCCGTGGGCTAACAGACCCATGGCTCAAATATGTCCAATCCACTTCAAAGCTTGCTGCATAATCCCCTTATAGACACTGAATCGATTCTTAAAGGGGATAGCCTGCTAAGCTTTCAAGTGGGTAGACCATATTTGATCGGTATCTCTTAGGCGGACCAACTTAGGTTGTGAATGGGGCCTTTGATTTGAAAACCAACCTGTAGTGGTAGCTGGTCTGTCAGAAAACATCCAATCAGGTTTGTGGAATCTCCCGCCAGCCAGCACAGTATTAATCCTATAGAGATCGCCTCATCCACAATACCTGTCCTGCAGTTGGTTATTAGCTGACTGGAAAAAATGAACACAACAAATATATATACTAGTAATACAGGGGCGGATTTAGGCCGTCTTCTGGGTCTTCCGGAAGATGGTCAGATTTTCAAGTTTACATTGACAGATATCTATTTTTACTGTCGGAAGACGGTCAAAAGTGGAGCATTGATCAATATACAATTCGGAAGCCTATCAGAAAATATCTCTGGATCCGCCCCTGAGTAATACTAGCATCAGAAATGGACATCAACACAGCAAACAAAATGTTTTTATAACATTACCACATCGTCCTGGTAATGTTTAAATATTCTAGTAACATTCCAATAATGTTATAATAAAGTTTTTTTAATTTTTTTGCCCCACAGAATGGCGATGCAGTCAAAAGATTTATCTAATATTTGTGATGGGTCTCATGCTGACAATCGAGCAGGACTAGCAGGTCTAGCAATTAAACCTTGCAGCCGAGATTAAATCCATTTAATGGGGAATGTCGAAGCGAGGAGACCATCAGCGAATTAGGGGAATGGTTTTTAAGTGGGTCAGGCATATTTAGTCCATGGGTCTGTTAGTCAGTGGATCAACTTGTAAATGCACTCTAAGACTCCTATGGGGGAGCCTCAATAACCATCTGGGACCCTAATTTTTTTTTACATATTTAATTTTCCAAATTTATTTAAGAATTTCAGAAAAAAATAAAAGTGAAAAGAGCATCATTGTGGGTAACTGTTTATAATATATACTGAAATAGTAAAATGTCTGGAATAAATGGAGTTCGTAAGTTATGATTGATTAACATTCATGTTTAGAGGTGATCAAATAAAATGAGGTTTCATTCATCAATTGATAAATGTTATATGTAGCCAATTCAGTCTCTGTTCTTTTATTCATGGCAAGAGGTTACACATACTGTCTATAATAAATACTGAAATAGTAAAATGTTTGGAATAAATGAAGTTCATATTTATTAACGTTCATGCTTGGAGATATCAAATACAATGAGGTTTCATTCATCAATTGATATATGTTATATGAAGCCATGTCTCTGTTCTTTTATTCATGACAAGAGGTTACACATAATGCAACACATGCTGGTGGGTTTTATGTTGATATATACTAGTATAGCGTACTGTATATATATAGGACTGTATATTGCATAGGACAGTTAATTAGCCAATCCCAAATACAGTTCAACTGAAACTTCACATAAAATCATATCTTATACAGAAATGATAAACATCAAAAATGACATAATTATAAAAAATCCATACTTTACATGACTTCCACATTAAACACTACTTCAAAACATTTAAATATGCAGTGACCCATTTTCCAGCCACTATAGTTTACAATGAAGTTATACTGCTTGTCTAGTCACCGCATCATACTTACGGGGAAGCCGCAATGATGAAAATAAACAGAGACGCCATTCCCAAGATGACGGATATGTAGGTCTTGGTATCCAAGACGCACTCCCCTAATATATCCAGTATCCATGGTACCCCGCCAGTACAGTTGGTCTCCAGGTTCATGAGAGTTTTAAGTGCAGAGAAATTCATCGTGGTTTCTCTTCGTCTGATGCAAGCCGACCTAGATCAAAGTTGTTACAGTTAAAACAATGAAGGTGTTATAGTGGTGTCAGCAGCAAAAATAATGCAAGAGAACTGTAACTCCCTTTTTTTTGATAGTATTATTTCTGACCAGTAAACATATTGATAGAAAAAGAAAATGGTTTCATGTACAGGAAAAGGATTGACTTCATCTAGAGGTCTTTAAAGTTTGGAGGCAAAAAGAGTGCTACCAAATCACCCCGAGTATCACAACATCAAAGTGAACTCACCTGTTACATGCCTTACTGCAGAACACCCCGAGTATAACCACATCACAGTGAACTCACGTTACATGCCTTACTACAGATCACCCCGAGTATCACCACATCACAGTGAACTCACCTGTTACATGCCTTACTGCAGATCACCCCGAGTATCACCACATCACAGTGAACTCACCTGTTACATGTCTTACTACAGTTCACCCCGAGTATCACCACATCACAGTGAACTCACCTGTTACATGCCTTACTGCAGATCACCCCGAGTATCACCACATCACAGTGAACTCACCTGTTACATGCCTTACTGCTGTCACATCCAGAGAACCAGTGCCTGTGAATCAGCGAGGTTGCTTTTTATTCCATCCAACCTGCAAAGGAACAACAAAAACAAATTCTACCTTTGGAACTGGTTACTAAATAGATATCTTAACAGAGGCATCTGTCACCACTGAACCTTGAGCTGCTATTTATTGTCATGTCACTTGTTTTGAGGTGACTGCCCGGGGTGTCAATCCAAACTCAAAAATATTACAGTCAGAGTCATGAGTTTGGTTAAGGTCAGGTGACATGTTTAAGAAAGCAAAACTTAAAAAAGTGGTGAACCGCAGGTGTCTTTCTTTGAGATCAAATGACATTCAAGATAAGAAGGTTTAAGTTAAAACACATATTTAGATATTAATTCAAACCTGGGTACATTACTTTTTTCTTTCAGTCAGTCATTCTTAGGCCATCAGAACACTTACTTGTACCTAAATAAATAAATCGAAAATTTACTAAATAAATTAATTTGATATTTTCACCACCTAAATCTTCACAGATTTCAATGAAACCTGAGAATAATCCCTGATAATAACTCTTCCTATGAGGTCTATATTTCACAATAAAAACATTGTGAATGACTCACAGAAATATAAAATATTTTGTTTTACGACAACAACAGCAGTTATATAGCTATTATTCTGATATCTGAGCCTGTCTTCAGACCACGTGACCTCCATTGATGGCTATACTCTGTTATAATCTCTTAAGAGATTTTAACAAAAAACCAAACTTTTTAGAAAAAAACCAGGGACTAACTTTAAATGTAAAAATGGATTCATTAACCATTGGTAAGTATGGGAAAATTGTTGTTTACTTCAGGAAAATTCATTTTTTGGCCAAAACGAAGAGTTATTATCCCTTTAAGCAATTTCTCACACATCAGAAAAGAATACACAAATAGTAATAGAGATATAAGTATGACTGAACCTGCATGAATATAAATATTGCAGTGTCTGCAGAACAGCTGTAGTGTATATGAAACAATTTCTATACTCCAGGCTGCGTGAACTATGTAGCTTTCATGAGAAATATGCACGATTTTCCTTGAACTGATTCACCTTTAACACATCACCTCTGAACCAAACTTATTTTCTCTTGTTTTTTTTAAGATTAAAAAAAATGATATAAACTTTGCTTCAATATTTTTAACTAGTCAAAGCTAGTAAACATCTTTCATAGTTTGAGTGAAAAAGACAAACTTACCATTATAAATGCAAAGTGTATCAATATATTGTGAAGGTAAACAAAAAGTGAAAACTTAGTACATGTACCCTTGAAACTGTGTTCTCCATGACAGGATTAATGGGATTCATGAGAGGATTTGGTCAAGCCCATTCTGGGGTAGCACTAGCAATTTTTTTCCTTGGCCAAATCACTACTTTTTCATCACTTTTTTCTCCAAATTTGACTAAAACAAGTCAAATCAACCCTATTTTGTTAAGCCAATTTAAGGCCCTATTCAGAATGGATGATCTGAGTACTTACTGATCTGTCGCCTATATATGGCTGACCACAGTTCAAAAGTGATGCTGCTGATTCCTGATGGTCTTCCAGACTCCACACATGCCTTTAAATGGATTAAATCTTTTGCTAGTCCCCTGCAGCAGAACTGCGTGTGGGGGTGGAAAGACCATCAAGAATCGGCGATATCGCTTTCGAACGGTGTTCAGCCATATTTAGTCGGCGGATCAGTAAGTACTCGGATCATCCATTCTGAATGGGGACTAAGTTGGTTTTAGTATTTGGCTAAACTGGTGAGTGTTAGTGCTACCCCAGCCATCACACATGCTTTACTGGGTTGTTGATGCATTCTCCAACAACAAATTACTACCACTATAGGAATAATATGCATTGGATTTACAAAGAAGCAACAGGAGGTTGTAGCTCCGAAAATTATAGGTTGGTACCAAGTCTGATTATAAATTATGGTGATTGTTGTATATGACATACTAGTATACTGGGTACAGCATACCATGTTTCTTTTTTTTTTTTTTTTTCAACTTGGTGCATGAAAACAGCACGCATGAAATCACCACTGTCTAAATTATGAGGGTGTCTCGATAGTCCGAAGGTTCATTGGTCCGAAAAATGGTACCATTTTCATCGATTTTTTAATCAAGGGTTCATTGGTCCGAAGGTTCTTCGAACTATTGAACCTTCGGACTATCGCTATGGCCCCTAAATTATTCTTAATTCTTTTTCTACACTTTCCCACATATCCTTCTGTGCTCCATTATGCATTAGGGCAGCCAGTATACCATATCTCAGAACTGTCAATAGGAGTGCTAACACATGAATTTCCGTGCTACATACATGTATTCAAACAAGAGAGAGAGAAGAAGGCAGCACACTTTACTAAACTAAGTATTTGTTGGTATTGACACTACAACAGGTGTGAAATAAAACGAAAAGATAATTTCTTTTAGAATTCTTGGGGGCAAATTTTTGTACGATCATGCCAGTAGTTCCATCAATCTGTAATTTTATAATCAACTGATCTCAGCCTGTTCTTCCTTCTGGGAAAACAATGTTCTGAGTCAATAATTTAACACATACTACGATGGCAAAAAAAGTATTTTCCTCATAAAGAACCCTCTTCTGTGAAGACTGCTGGCTAACATCCAGGTGCAACAGGAAAGGAAGTCCTACGAATGGAAGTTTGGACCCCAATATGATTAGTACAGGTTAGAGTTAGTTGGAGAATTGGTGTAAGAATATGGGACGAATGCCACCTTTACAAAGTAATAGGAAGCGGAATACGGTTCCTAGCGGACTTCATTCCTCTTACACCGAACCGTGACCGACAGTCGAGACAGTTGGGAGTTTGGGAACGCCAGAACCATCTTTAAAAGCAATGGGATTGTAACACTCTGATAGAAGATTATTTATATAGTCGTTCTTAAAAAAGAAAATGGACAGATACTCACTGTCATAAAGTGCAGTCCTTCAGCGGTTCTTTTCTCCTGAGCACTGCTTTCTCTCTCTCTCTCCGTTTATTATTCTGACCTTGACCTTCGCTCCTGAGATGCCGGAAATATCCGAGAGTGTAACGGAAACGTCCGAATCGTCTCCTTGCAGACTCCTGTTAGGTACGCCATGTTGAATATTATGTGAAAAATCTGGCTTCATCTAAGTCATCATGAACATTGTAGACATCTTATTCTAGGTGAGTTACAAAGTATAACCATTGATATGTCTAACGAGACCTTTATTTTATTAATTGTAGGAGATATAGCTTGGCAACAAGCTACCGAACTTGGTCCTTCACTAAGGACTTCATTTCTTCCCTTTTCACGTTGAAATGAACATACATCCCCGAAGACATCCCTCTTATACACCGCAAGAGCAAGCACCGGGTCAACAGCAGCAAAGAGGACAACAGTCGTATCCTTTTAGATAATTCTGATGTTTGTTTTGTGTTATTGGACGTGTACTTTCATTGCTTAAAAAATGCCGGTCGAGCGGTTGACCCACATGGCGATCGCCGGTTGTTTAGGATGACGTGATATTAATGCCATGACAAGTGACAGAAAACAGAAAGTATTTATGAAAAAAGATGGGAAATAAGGACGTCTGTTAAGCAAAGATTGCTTTAAATCCAGTAATCGTAAATTTCATGTTTTGTCGAGATCTATACAAATCCTTCCTACGATGCAGTAAAAAGGGCGTCAGCTTGAATCTGAGAATGTTATGATTTTCTGAACACTTCAGTGTTATCACACGTAGGTGACTCATAACCACTTGTAGTATTTGTTGTGATTGTGATTGGTATTTAAATCCAGATTTGCATCTTATTGAGTTAAAAATTGGACAATTTTTGATGTCTTTGATAGGTGGGTGTGTCCACATGTGAGTATACAAATGCAAAAAAAAAAAAGATAAAAAGGCATGCATACTGACTTTTTAAATTTTCGCTTATGAACTACAGCACTGGTGAATCTAAGATGATGGTAGTTGTAAAACATG